AAGAGAAGGAGAGATGAAAAGGAAGCTGAAACGAAGAAAAGTACACAGAGCATTAGCTTGTTCTTAACGAAAGGTAATAGATAAATTTAAAAAGTATGAACAAAACAGTGAACATGGTGTTGTATTTTGTGTTGAATGTTCTAGAATCAAGTGAAGTTTTGCCTCTTGAAAAATCCGATGTTTGTTTGCCGAACGAGAAGGAATGTGAATACCGTGATGATTCGCAAAGCGAATCGGCAATTCTGCATTCAGGTATGAATTGAATTGAATGTTGTGTGTTGAAAATCACCAGTAAAAATTGTTTCGTATTGTCGTATGTATCGTGTGTTATATTGCAATTTTCAGCGTCAAGTGCATTTGAATTTGATGTTTCCATGCGTGATGAAAATGAAGAAACCTCAAATGGCAATGCTGACGCAATTGGTTCTGATATTAGTGATATTATGAACTATCCAGTAAATATGTCTCAAACGCTGCTCGAGCGCATCATACGCACTGGGCCCGTTCAAGTTGTAATTGCTTTTCCTACAACTAATTGCCGGTCGTTTTCTGAGTCATATTATACAAAGAAAATGCTCAACGGAGACAATGTTAACCGCGAATGGCTTATTTATTCAAAAGGTCTGGATTCTGTGCATTGTTTTTGTTGCCGTCTTTTCCATATGGAACCAAAGATTGGAGACATTTGTCTACACGGATCAAAGAGCATGAACTTTCAACACTGCACATTCAAAATTACACCAAATGGAAATCATTTTTGAACCGAATTTCGGAAAATAAGACAATCGACAGCGAATTATTTAAGCAAATACAGCAAGAAAAAGAACGATTAAAAGATGTCTTCAAGCGAATTATCGCATTTGTACTATTTTTTGCACGCCAAAACATCGCATTCACCGGATCCACATCAAAACTTCATGACTCATCTGGGCGGAATGGTAATTTTCAGCAGCTGGTTAAGACGGTAGCTACATTCGATCCTGTCCTTCGAGAGCATATTGAGCGTGAAATTGCTGATTCAATTCAATATGAGGATATCATCGACGAATTTGCCGCTTCCAAAGCCCGGAAAGTTTCCTTTTACTGATCAGTTACGAAAATTCGCAATATTTAATAATGAACATTAAATGTTATATCACGCAATAAAAATTATTTACAAATCGAATGTAAAACATTCATGAATAAATACTGTTTTCGCTACAAAAAGATACGATTTAAAATTTAAATTAATCATTGTCAAAAAAAATTGAGTCATGAAATTTCAGGGGCGCATGAATAAAACTTGCACCGGAGCGCCGTGAGCGCTCGGACAGGCGCTGCATACTTGTTACAGCAAACTATGTGCATGATTCATTCATTGAAAAAATTTGAATCTTTTTTTCGTTTAATAAAATTTGGTTTTTGGACAGACAGATGAAATTAGATTTTGTTTTGATGAAATTACATATCGCTTTTAAACTAAGAAACTTTGACATGTTTAGTTTTTTCATGATGAGTTTTTTTGATTTTGATTTTGATTTTTTCATGAAAAGTACTTTTTGTGTTTTTTGTTGATTGCGTGGAATAAAAAGACTTGGTGAGGGGCTGGTATCTGAAGGAATTTTATTCATTTGAACGCAAAAACACTTTGGTTATGATTTCGCCATTGTAAACGGCAACAAAAATGAGTTTTATTTGATTTTTGTCGATTTTTCATGTTTTTTCCAACTTCTAATGGCTATATCTAAAAAAACAGAGTTTTGCCAGATATAAGCTATATGCTGGGTTGGTAAATTTTCGTATTTCGAGCGACGTGTAAGTAATTTACGTAAGAAACATGTATCTTACGTTTATTACGTAAGAAACCTCAACGCATGTAATAAACTCCAAAACGCTCCAAAAAGTGCAGGGTTATAGACAAAAACCGACTATTCTCGTTTGTTTTAAGCATTCAAAATATACAGAGTACATACATGCTCGTTCTACAGCGTTAGCTGATAAATAATTAATAAATATATTATTCATGCAAAAGTTTGAAACCACCAGCTATTTTTTCATAAAGAGTGTGTTTTTTCGCAGTGATACTTGATAACAGTGTGTAGCCAAATGAATTTTTGCATACTTTTATATTTTATTTAAATAATGTTGTAATAAATTTTTAATAAAAAGTTTCAACTATTCTTGGAAATATATTTATTTGGAAATGCAGAGTTACCGAATCACTATGCAAATATTTCCATAAATAGTTGATAGAAGACGATTGAAAACGTTGATTACATAATGAAATAATTACATGAAGAATATTTAATTCACATTTTACATAACGAAAGAACAAAACTAAAATAAAATACAAATTTTCTTCATTTCCAATTGAAAATCTTTTTTTTTTTGCATGCATTCTTTATGAAAAAATCATTCTTCAGAGTTTCTTACAGGTTTCTTACAAATTCATGTAAATTACATGATTTTTCATAGGTAAATTACATGATGTAATATACGTAACTTTGATGTAATTTACATGGTCGAGTTTCTTACGTACCAACCCAGGCTATATGTCAAATTTTAGCTCTAACTTGGGGCTAAATTCCAGAGAATTTTTAAGAAAACCGTCGGAGCCGTTTTCGAGAAAATGGCCGATTTATGCAAGGCCAGGTGACCATTTTTTTGGGTTTCTGCCCATAAGACCATGCCAACTCAATTTTTTCAAATTAAAAAAGATGTCATTTGATAGCTGGCCTCAAGACATTTCCAACGATAACCAAAAGTTTGAAATCGGTTGACTGGGTTAGGCACAGTGATCATTGGAAAGAAGGCCATATTTTGAATTTTCAAAGGCCGGCCAAGGCCAAGATAAAAGAAAAATATAAACCCGATTGGAGAGAATGAAGTCAATTAGAATGAATTATCCCATTGTAAATATTGTAGATATAAAAAGATTTTATGCTAAATAAACCACCTCTGGCGAAGAAACGCTGTATGGTGCAGAACAATAATAATAATGAAAATAAAAAAAAACCATGGTTGAAAAAGTGCAAAAATCGATTATTTTTACAATATTTTGTACTGGAGCAAACACCAGATGGCATTTTTTGGGTAAACGGATAGTCCCAATCGATAAATATTGTCAAATAAGTCTAACAAATACCCCCCCCCCCCACCAGGGGTAAACTAAGCTATGATGAAAATGATCCGATATTGATTGACCGATGTACAAATTTCCCACGTATCAATGTCACTGAGGAATTGGTTATGGAAAAAATCCACGATTTACCAAACAATTTGGTGTCTGGTCCCGACGGAATACCGAATATGTTCATCAAAAACTGCATTCACACATTGCTGAAGCCAATAACACACATATTGCGTGAATCGTTAAATTCTGGTTGTGTACCGAACACATGGAAACGCTCTTATGTAAGACCAGTGCACAAAAATGGAGCTAAGTACAAAATTGAGAACTATCGTGGAGTAGCACTGCAATGCATAATACCTAAATTGTTGGATTCGATAATTGCAAATCATTTGAATTATCACATGAGGAACATCATCGATAGCAGCCAGCATGGTTTTGTCAAAGGAAAGTCAACAATAACGAACCTGGCCGAATTTACATCACATACACTGATCGGCATGCAACATGGAATCCAGACTGATGCAATATATCTCGACCTTGCTAAAGCGTTTGACTCGGTTGACGTGAAACTGCTCATACACAAGCTGAAAATTATGGGATTGAATGAGCAAATACTGGAATGGATAAAGTCATATCTAAGTGAACGTCAACAAATAGTAAAATTGAATGGAGCCATGTCTACTCCCATTGAAGTAACATCGGGAACAGGTCAGGGATACCCGATTGGAGCGACACTGTTTGTTCTGTTCATCATTGATCTTCCCCATTGCATAGTCAACTCCAACTTACAATCGTTTGCCGATGACACTCGCTTTTCAATGCAAATAAAGCAAGTCGATGATTGCCTAGCACTTCAAGCTGACCTGAATAGAGTCGTCAAGTACTTCAAACGTAACCGCATGAACTTGAATGTCAAAAAAACGAATTACGTATCATATCACCGTGGCGAGCTGAAATTTGACTTCAAGTACACTATTGAAGGCAAATCAATTGACAGAGTAAAAATAATAAAGGACTTCGGAGTCGTTTTGGATGAAAAAATGAACTTCGATGCTCATATTGAGTACATAACTGCTAGAGCCAAATCTAGACTTGATTGATTAAACGTTTTGGAAGAGAGTTCGATGACCCATGGACTATAAAGAGACTCTTCTTCACGTTCGTATTGCCAATCATTGAATATGGATCGCAAATATGGAACCCATACACCAATGAGAAAATCGCTAGAATCGAATCAGTCCAAAAGCAATTTCTACTATTTGCACTGAGAAAGATGAAATGGCCACACAGATTCATTTTGCCACAATACAACAATCGTCTGCTATTTCTACAAATGATTACCTTGGAAGAACGAAGAAAAATCGCACAAATTTGCTTCATACACAATGTTATCTGTGGCCAAACATCGTCGAAGCATATTATGGAGAAAATTAACTTAAGAACACCACGACTCCGAACACGGAACACCGAATTCCTAGAGCTGCCGACCAGAATCTACAACTACTCAATGTTTGAGCCAATTAACTACATGCTCATCACATA